TCTCTGAGTCTGAGGCCAGCCTGGTCTACAAGAGTGCCAGGACAGCCAGGGCTACACAGATAAACCCTGTCTCAAAAACAAAAACAAAAACAAACAAAACAAAAGCCCTAAAGCATTTTGTTATGTAGTTCAGGCTGGACTCAAGCTCCTGAGTACCAGGACCACAAGTGTCTCACCTTTGTTTGAGTCAGGGCTTCTCTGTGTAACAGTCCTGGCTGTCCTGGAACTTGTTCTGGAGGCCAGGCTACCCTCGAATTCACAGAGATCCACTTGCCTCTAGCTAGGATCAGAGTCGTGCACTACCGCTGCCCAACTGTGTCTCACCTTTTGAATGAAGGTCTCTCTACCGCTTGGGGTGCCTGCACTGCCTTATAGGAGGTTAGTTTATGCTTGCCCTTTACCTTAGTCTTCCTCTGCACACTTCAGGCCTTGCTCTTGGATACCCCAAGCAAAAGGATTCAATCCTGCAATGTTTTCAGGATGTAGAAGTGAGGTGGAGGAAGAAGGGAAAGGAGAAGGAAGAGGAGAAGGAAGAGGAGGTGACAGAGGCAGCAATCTGCTTTGCGGCCACTTAGGCTGAAACCTGTAATTCTCACAACTCCAGCCCCTCCCAGCCAACCCTGGAAAGTGACTACACCAGTCCTCTGAGCAGGGCAGTTGGGTTTGCTCAATTCCCGCACAGCTTGCGGAAGTCCATAGAGCAAAACTGAAATCCAGCCCCAGAGAGGGTCCAGCACTCAATTACTAGTCAGGGCTCCTTAGGTCCCTTCAAAGGGCTGGGAATGACACTGTAATCCTTGTGTGTGTGTGTGTGTGTGTGTGTGTGTGTGTGTATACATATACACAAAACTGTACTGGCTTTGTTTGTTTTGCCTGTTTGGTTTTTTAGTAATTTATTTTTGTTTCATGTGCATTAGTGTTTGTTTTTATTTATTAATTTGTTTGTTTGTTTTTTTGAGACAGAGTTTTTCAGTGGCTATGGAGCCAGTCCTGGTACTCACTCTCTTGCCTTGAACTCACAGAGATCCGCCTGCCTCTGCCTGCCCCCCCCCCCCAGTGCTGGGATTAAAGGAGTGCACCACCATTCACCATTGCCCAGTAGGGCTTTTTTTTTTTTTTAAGATTTACTCATTTATCATGCATACAGTGTTCTGCCTGCTGGCCAAAAGAGGGCACCAGATTTCCTTACAGATGTTTGTGAGCCACCACGTGGTTGCTGGGAATTGAACTCAGGATCTCTGGAAGAACAGCCATCTCTCCAGTCCCTGTGCATTGGTGTTTTGCTTGCATGTATGTCTGTGTGAGGGGGGTCAGATCTTAGAGTTACAGACAGTTGTGAGCTGCCATGTGGGTGATAGAAATTGAACCTGGGTCCTCTGGAAGAGCAGTCAATGCTCTTGATGCCTAGGCTGCTATTAAAATAGCACTTTCTCACTTTCCGGCCTGAAAGAGGCTCTGGCCAGTCTTCTTGCCTCAGTCTCCAACCAATCATTTCTCCAAAGAACCCAGTTACCCCCCACTCCACCTCACCCAAACACCAACAGTTAAATTTAGGGCCTTGTAAAGGTTAGGCAAATACTCTACCACTGACCTGTGGCTCCAGCCCATAGTTTTCTTATGGAGAATGGGTTCTAATATCTGGGTTCTTGGCGTAGCTGTCATTATTTTTATGCTCTTTTAGCATAGAAGACAGCACAGAAAAGTCATGTATGTTAACCTATTAATTGGTAACACACACACGTATTCGGTGTCTGTAGTAACTGATCACGGTTCTAGCTTTAATCATTGCAAACCCTTTAGTTCTAAGTTCTCACGTCAGCAATGGGGAGCCTAGGCTGGGTGGAGGTGGCACACACCTTTAATCCCAGCACTCGGGAGGCAGAGACAGGCGGATCTCTGTGAGTTCAAGACCAGCCTGGTCTACAAGAGCTAGTTCCAGGACAGGCTCCAAAAGCTACAGAGAAACCCTGTCTCAAAACACCAGCAAAACAAAACAAAACCAAACCAAAGGGGAGCCACGTGTCCACCGTGTGGCAGTGCACCAGAACTGGTGACAAGGCCTGTGACCTCACATTTAGGAGACAGAGGCAGACAACACAGTAAGCCTCTGCTTCTGTCTCAAACAAGCACAACAATCCAGGCTGGAGCTGCAGGCCTTTAACCCTTGGAAAGTGGAAGCTGGTGGATCTCTGTAAGTCTGATGTCAGTCAGAGTTACACAGTAAGATACTGTCTCAACACAAAAATGGAAGAAAGGAGGCTGGTGAGTTGGCTCGGTAGTTAAGAGCATTTGCTGCACCTGCAGAGAACTCAGGGTAGATTCTCAGAATCCACACGTTGGGTCAAAACCATCTATATCTACGGTTCTGGGGCAAATCTGACACCTTCTTCTGGCCTCCAGTGTCTACATGATGAACAGACACAGGCAAAATACTCACACACATACAATAATAAAAAAATTAAAAATTATTATTAAGAAAAACAAAACAACAACAAATGCCAGGTACAGGGTCTGGAGAGACAGCTTAGCGGTAAAGAACATTGGCTGCTCTTCCAGAGAAGAGGGCTCGGCTCTCATCACTCACACAATGGTTTATAACCACATTAGCTTCAGACCTAGGAGATCCAACACCCTTTCCTGGCGTCAGTGGATACTGAACACCTGAACACAGGTAGCATCCACACATAAATGAGATGGGCAAAAAAAAAAAAAAAAAAAGGCCAAAAAAGGCCATCCAGGGGCCATCCAGGTGTGGTCCAGTGGTGCAGATCTGTGCTCTCAGCTCTCAGTAGATGCAGAGGAGTGGCCTGCCTGGAGGATCAAGAGTTCAAGATCATTCTCAGCTGCTATCTACACAATGACTTTAAGGCCACCCTGGACTACACGAGACCTTGTTTTATGAAACAAAACAAAACCAAAAACAAAATCTACAGTACATCCACAGGAACCAATTATTTTTAAAAATTTATTATCACTCTCGTGTGTGTCAGTGCAGATGCACATGCGACCTCACCACATGTGTGTGTGGAGGTCAGTGGACAGTCTGGGATTCAATTCTCTCCTTCCACTGTGGGATGGGGCTGTCTCCGGTAGTCAGGCTTAAGGCAGGCAGCTCTGAACGCTGAGGCTTCTGCCCACACAGAGCAACCTTTCTTTTAACCACAGCACAGCGTGTATAGGGAGTATAGCGGACTCCCTATCCTTTAAACGCACGCCCTGGTCATTCTTTACAACAGTGTCCTGTGCCTGTAGCCTAAGAAGCTGTTCCCTGTCACTGCTTTGTCAGTTTTTCAGCTTTTGGTAACTGTATAGCTATGGGCCCATTGTCAACTTGCTGTTTTGTGACAAGGTTTCTCTGTGTATGCCTGGCTGATCTGGAACTTACGTGTGGGTCAGGGTGGCTATGAGCTTTGGATCTGCCAGCCTCTGCCTCCTGAGTGCTGGGATTGACGGTGTGTGCTATTGTGTTGGCATTTCCTTTATTTTAATATGCAAAACAGTTTGCCTCGCCTAAAACAAAGATCCACCTGACTCTGCCTTCTGAGTGTTGGCATTAAAGGTGTACGCCACCACCACCCAGCTTTTATTTATTTCAAGATGTTTGTTTTACCTGCATGTGTGTCTGTGTACCATGTACACACCCACTGCCTGCATAGGCCTGAATAAGCTGGAGTCAGATGCCCTGGAACTGGAGCTACAGAAGGTTGTGGGCACTGTATGGATGCTGGAAATCAAATCTGGATTCTCTGGAAGAGCAGCCAGTGCTAACTGCCGAGTCACCTCTCCAGCCCCTTTGCTTTATTTTCTACCTCTCAATCACTGTAAGTCTTACTCTCACAGTTCTGACCTGGGTCTGTGCACGTTGGTAAAACAGGGCCTCACCCCTAGCCTTGTCCCAGCTTCCCTACGCTTGGGTCACAGGCACATACCACCATGTTCAGCCAGCCTGCTAACACTTCCAAGGTCTAGGAGGCAGGTGGCTTTGTTTACTTTTACCAAGCAGATGCCAACAATCTGATCTCTCAATCGAAGCTTAGGCTAAGGGTCCAGAGACCCCTGGGTTGACCAGTTGCAGAACGTGGCCGGGGAGCCCCCAGTTCACCTAGTGTAAGTGCCGCGTGTATCAAGGTTCCTATTCCCTAAGTGCCAACTTTTTCTCCTTTTCGCTTCCAGTTCCAGAGTCCACAGGCACACAGCTTAGCCTCTCAGCAAGATGGCTCAGTGGGTAAAGATGTTTTCCCACCAAGCCTGATGACTAAAGTTGCAATCTCCAGGATACACATGATGAAAGGAGAGTCAGCTCCCAGGCTCAGTGGGCTCTATGGCACACTTGTGTACACACACACACACACACAGACACATACACAGAGAGACAGACACACACACAGACACACACACACAAACACAGACACACAAAATAAAAACCATTGTTTAAAAAAAAAAGGCAGGGCTGGAGAGATGGCTCTGGGGTTAAGAGCACTGGCTACTTTTCCAGAGCAGTCCTGAGTTCAATTCCCAGCACCCACATGGTGGTTCACAACCATCTGTAATGAAAAAGAAAAAAATGTGGAGCCCCCTTCTGGTGTGCAGGTATGTGTTCCGGCAGAACACTGTATATGTAATAAATAATTTTTTTTTAAAAAAAAGGCAGCCTTTAGGTGCTGAGTTTCAAGTCAGTCTCCCTGCTCCTCGATGCTTTAAGCCTTTTCCCCCTTCACCCAGCATTGGAACTTGCACTGAGACCTGGCCTGAAGCACAGTCTCCCATGCGTGGTTCATTCTTACACCACCAGACTCTACTCACAGCTTCACTGCACAAAGATAAGAAGTGTGGTGGCTCAGCCCACAGTCCCATCACCTGAACACTAGGCAGAGGGCTGTTGCACGTCCCAGGCCACCTTGGGCTACAATGGTACCTTCTCAGAACACCAAAACTCAAGACAGTGACCTTGTTTTTAGCCCGATCCCTCCCTCAAAAAACAAACACCAAGAGCACCAATATACGCTCACAACAAAAATCATTTATTTACAAAGGTCAGGGTAGGTGTTGGGAGTAAGAGAGCAAAAGGGCAGGCATGTCTGAACTGCTTGGGACCCTTCCCCAACTGGAGCAGGATTCCTTTCCTTCTTTACCTCTCAGCCAGACCACAAGGCGGAGAGAATGTGCCGAGAGCCTTCTCAGCACTCGAGCTGAGCTAACCCCAATTCCATACTAAAGGCATCACCATGCCCATCCCTTTCTCAGACAGAACTTTCTGACCTGGAGGAAAACAGCAAGGAATTGGAAAGCACGAGCTCTGGAAGAGAAACCTCACCATTTTTTTTTTTTTTTCCGCAAAAGAGTCATAGTGGCAAGGGTCTCAGTCAGAGCCATCATCTTTAGGAGAAACACCCAGAAACTCAGGAGACTCAGCTCTCCCAATGCTGTATCTCTCCAGTAGGCTGGCTCTTGTACCCACTCATCTCTGTTGACAAAGTTGTGAACCAGAAACCAACAAAGAACACACACCTTCCCCAACTTGGGTGAATGCACATGTATGCACAGATACAAATTCTTCATACTGCTAAGAAAGATAAGATCCAATCCCCACATCTTCTAGGAGTGCGGCTAAACGCACTGGAGCCTGAAGATGTAGGTAGGTCCTGGGCACACGGAAACACGTGTGTGCAGAAACACATATGTCGGAGACAACAGAACCAACCTGGCTCCTTGTGGGCCACACTGCTCAGCTTTGAGCTCTTCAATTCAAATTCCTTCAGTCTCTCTCTTTCTCCTGTCAGGTCTGGGTCTGGGTTCTCCAACCTGAAATCTATAGGTGTTTCTAGACCCCAACTCTCAATTCAAACTTCCCAGCCTTCAGCGCAGGCTGTCTCCCCAAGTCCCTGTCTCCAGGAACTCTCAGCTGGTCTTGTCTGTTACTGGCAGTCCTGCCCAGAGTGGTGGCTCATGGCTCCCTTTGGGCAAGAGGACAGGAATCTTTCTCCCTGCCTGAGAGTCCCAAAGGAGCCCATGAGAAAATGCTGGGTGAATATGCAAGAGGGGTAGAGAAAGAAAACTACAGCGTTTCGTCAGCTCCTCTCCAGAGAGTAAAATCCACACACTGGCTGGGCTGAGGTGCGAAGGAAAGGAGGAGAGCAAGAGCAAATGTAAGGCAAGCTAAAGCCTAGTGGTGCCGACGGAAGACTCTGGGGAGCCAGAGGGGGTCCTCCTCTCAGACCCTGGGAGAAGACTGCACATTGCCAAAGTACTGTGGGCAAGGAGATAGGGCCAAATGTCCAACTGTGCAAACTAAATAGTTCTGCTCGGAGGCCCGGGAGAAAGGATTTCATAAGAAAGCAACAAAATCAAAACCCTTGAACAGAGCTATGGGGCTGGGCCCAGGCCTCCAGAATCACCCTGTTGTTTGTAGAGGTCAAAGAAGGCTACAGAAGGTAGGGTTTGACAGAGGAGCCAGAAGGCTGGCACTGAGACCTGGGGAAGGCAGGAGGCACGGGCCAAGGGATCAGGAGAGCTGGGACCCCAGGAGTCTCTCAATAGCCGCATTGATGTCCCCGCCTGTGGCGATCAGGGCCTGTAGGTTAGCTTCACGGTTGACAAAGCCCATGGAATTGAGCTGCTCCAGCTGCTGCTGAAATCTCACTTCTGGCATCGGCACCTGGAGAAGGCAGGCCTTGGCAAGTGGGCATGAACCCATTCTAGGGCTAGCCCCTTTCTTCCTTCCTTTCTTTTTGAGAATGTCTTGCTATGTAGCCCAGGCTGGCCTAGAACTTGCAATTCTCCTGCCTCAGCCTCCCGAGTGCTGGGATTGCAGCACTGTCTCCTAGAGGGACAGTTTGAATTTGAGTGTTTGCACAACACCGGTAGGTCCCTAGTACCCCATGGGTCAAGGGTGCCCTTGTGTCCACTTGTCTGGTCCCACCCTCAGCAAAACCGTGTGCCTAGCGTGAGGAAAGTGAACTACAAATGAAGGCCAGGGAACCCAGTTCCCAGTTAGTAAACAATTGTAGGCCTGGGTCAGCTTGCTCCTAAATGCTTTTCAGAAGATGTCACTACATGCCTCAAAAGACTAATGCTGCAGCAGAGAAGTGGCTCAGTGTTAAGAGCACTGGCTGCTCTTTCCGAGGACCTGGGTTTGACTTGTAGCACCTCCATGGTGGCTCACAATGGTCTGCAACTCCAGCTTCCGGGATCTGACAGCCCACCTGGGCTCTGTGGGTACTAGGCACGCACTTGGTGCCCAGACAAACATGCAGACAAACATTTATACATATCATATAAAATAAAAACACATAATCTGGGACTGAAGAGACGGCTCAGCGGTTAAGAGCACTGCCTGCTCTTCCAGAGGTCCTGAGTTCAGTTCCCAGCAACCACATGGTGGCTCACAACCATCTGTAATGAGATCTGGTGCCCTCTTCTGGCCTGCAAGCACACATGGAGGCAGAATGTTGTACACATAATAAATACATCTGAAAAAAAAAAAAAGAGCTAGCTGGAACAAGCCTAAGCTAAAGGTCAACCTTTCATAATTAATAAGTCTCCATGTCATTATTTTTGAGCTGGCAGCCCCAAAAATGTCTGACTACAATGTTTTCCCATGGGATGTTTGGGAAGCATGAGTTTTGATCATGACCAAGATGACCAAGACTCAGCAAGAGGAAGGCTGCTGCGGGATGCTTGTTTACAGTGTAAAGCGTGGCTCTGATTAGTTTAATAAAGAACTAAATGGCCAATAGCCAGGTAGGAGAGAACAGGCGAAAAAGCCTAGGCTAAGGTCAGGCTTTGAGTCATCATTTGTGGGAGGTGATCCAGAGACAGCCTGACAAGAAAGCCAGCTACAGAAGGCTGGCGTCACTGCCGACCACTAGAGACACTTGTCTAGGACCACACAACCAGCCCGACAGTCAGAGGCCCTCCCAGGGCCATGCTGATGCTTCTCAGTCACAGAGTTACACTGGATACGCCTTGCAGATCAGCCTGGCCCAGCCCTGTTAGAGTTTACACAAATGTTTGTAGACTGTTTTTTTCCAGCAGAGTCACAGAGGTCATATCCCCAGGTCATCTCTGCGCCTGTGCCTACCTAAGACCCTGCCCTTCACCTTCATAATCAACCAGCTATGTTAGTGAGCAGCCAGCTGATCTCTTTGCCCTCAGTTTCCCCATCTGTATAAACACCGACACTGAACCTCCTGAGGTCGTTGGGAAATGGTGTAGATGACTCCCCAGACAGAGCATTCGGCATGTTCCCAAGCATGGGTTGAGTGTTCAATCACTGCTCTTACCCTATTTTAAAGCTGTAGACACTGAACTTGGGGACATATGGTAACACGCCCAAAGCCGCTGAGTGGCAGATCAGAGAGCCTGGAGCCAAGTCTAGCCTCCTGCAAACCCTGTGCAGCCGCCTCTGCTCCACTGACACCCTCGAGGCTCCTGCCTTGTATACCTGTGAATTTCCACTTCCGGCCAGAAGCTGGATCATCTGCTGCATGAGCTGCTGCTGGGAACCCGCCGTGGGAGGAGGCGTGGCTGCTAGGCCTGGGGAGGGGGTGGGGGCCTCGGCTGCAGACCCAGAGTTGCCTGCCAGGGGCACAGGGGTCCGGGATGTCCCAAAGGAGCCAAGGCTGGAGGCAGGAAAAGAATAAGAGTCAGGAGAAAGCAGTCCTGAACAGGATGGGAAATGAACGTGAAGAAACATGCTTGCAACCTTAGCACTTGGGGGGGGGCGGGGCTGCTGAGATAAGAGGACCATAGTTTAAGGCTAGCCTGGGCTACAAAAGGGAGATTTAATCTGGAGAAGAAAAAAAAGAAGAAAAAAAGGAAAAGAAAAATGAGATCCAGAAGGAAACAGGAAAGTGGACCCAGCCCAAGGAAAAATGATGCAGTGGTGTGTGTGTGTGTATAAGACAGACAGACAGACAGAACCTGAATGCCCACCAACCCTCCTTACCTTGGTACCAGCCCAGGGGCTTCAGTTTGCAGGGTCTGCAGTCCCTGCTGGATCTGCAGCAAGGCCTGCATGGCCCGGGGATTGGTGAGGATGGAGAGAGACTCTGGGTTCTGCATCTGTTGGGAAACAAGCAGAGAAGGGCAATGGGAGACAGCAGGAAGAGCAAGTAAACTACAGCCACAGCCTGTCACCTGATTCCCGTCACTGGGCTTCCCCTCTGCAACCCTCACTCACCTGTTGCAGAAACACAGGGAGCTGCAGGCGGAGCTGCTCCTGAAGCTGTGGATTCCCCGCAAACAGTGGGACATTCACCATCATCTGCCAGAGGGGAGGGAGTGGGGGAGGCCTGGGTCCTCCTTCCCTAAGGAGCCCCCACAGCTTCAGACCCTCCTCAGTGCTCCCGCCACTGCAAACAATCTGACCACCATTTCAGGAAATCTCAACGTACTCCAAAAGCGCATGCGGAGCAGTGAGAAGGAACGAGCATGTGGGCGGCAGTCAGGCGGCCCAGGCCTGTCACGTGAGCAGCACAAGTACACAGTGCCTCCCGCGAGCCATGCTGCCCACTTCAGCGCAGAGGAGATCAGGAGGTGGAAAACTACACAGCTGCAGAACAGCAGAACCTGGAGTATGAACCTAGGCAGCCTGGCCCGGAGAGTGGCAACTGTGAGGTTGCGGGGAACCCTTCCCCAACAGCACCTCCTTTGGCCAGACTCGTACCTGAGCAGCAAAGTCAGGGTTCTGGGCGAGTGTCTGCATCATGCTGCGCATGTAAGGGGCTGAGATCACATTCTGCATCAGCTGGGGGTTTTCAGAAATCTGCTGGAGGAGCGCCTGCATTTCTGGGCTGTTGAACATCCCTAAAACAAAGAGGGAGAAACAAAACAGGAAGAAAGGGGTCCAAATGGAAACTAGATACCTCATTTCATCTACCTTAGTTCACTGAGTGGTCAGGAAACAGAGAAGCTACAGTAAATAGGCATCCAAGCACATGACACGGGTCCAAGCACTCCTGCCTCTCTGGGACCTGTACCACCAACTTGGTTAAAGGCTAGCTGGCCAGGACTGAGTTACGTCCCTCTGGACTGTGCCTGTCCCAGGCTCAGAGCAGTGAGAACCGGTAAGAACTGAATGGCAAGGACTTCTAAACCTGCCTTAGCAGCAGAGGCCTGCTTCTCAAGCCAGTCTCACTCAGGTACCGTAATGGTGTGGCTGAAGCCAGTGCAGAGACATGGAGCTGGCTCCTACTTGGTCCTTCCCTCTCCTGGAAATGGTCCAGATCCCTCAACGCTTAGGAATAGCGTTCAAATCACAGATAATAAATCAGGAAACAGAAGCACATTAAGGGGAAGGAACGCAAAGAAATCGGGGAATCTACCAAAAGCTCTCCCAGAGCCACGTGTCCTGTCCCAGTGTAGAGAACTCCCTAGGGCTTGGCAGTGTGTGTCCTATATCTGTGCACATGGTAACCCTGCATATCTTTCTCTTCCAACATCACATCTGCCTGTCCCTGAATGTGATCTGATTCCTCTGCAACCCTTCCCCTAATTCTCATCTCCCATGCTGACCCATTTACACTGGATGGTATCAGAGGTATTCATGGAGTTGGGAGGTTGGCTTGGTTTACTCATGAGCTGTTACTTAGGTCACTACCAGGGACATGGGACATGGTCAGAACAAACCTTCCTCCTATGTAGGACAGGGCCATTATCCCAGGCTGCTGAGCCCTTCTGTAGCTTTAATTCAGTCTCACCTGTTTTCAATACACTGAAGCAGTGTGAACCCCATTCAGTCCTGGGGCAGAGGGGCTGCCCTGGTGTGACCCCACTAAGCTCCTTCACCCTAAGACATACCTGACCCCAGGCTAGCCGCATTGATCCCAAAGGGGTTCGAGACTGTCGGGTGCACCTGGCTGGTCCCCGATCCTCCGGTGCCCTCCCCACCGGACCCGGGGGCCTGGGAGGTGGGGGGCGAGGGGCTCCAGGGGTTAGGGAGGGGCTCTCGATTCTCAGTCCGAAGAGGCTGGGAAGATGTGCTGTCGGAGTTCCCGGCCAGGGAAGAGAAGGGATTGTTGCCAAACTGGGAGGAGGGAAAGGTTTTGGGTTAAGGACTGAAACAAATGAGGGACGAAGGAGAGGCTCCCTCTCTGCTCACACGTAGCAGCCTCCCCTCCCCAGGCAAAGGAGAGACAAACCAGACAGTTTTCTCTGCTGTCCCATAGGACGAGCTCCACTCTCATCCCAGCCTGCAGAGGGCAACTGGCTGGCGCTAGTGACTGGCAGCCAACGCCTGCAGGAAAAGATGTCGTTTCCCTTGTGTGTGCTCAGTGTGGGCCTCTGCTTTCAGCTCTAGGACCCAGAGCTTCACATATGGCTTTCCTGTGCTCTGATAGGTATTTTTACTCTTGGAGTAGTTAAGGGGCAGAGGTAATGTCAGATTCACCTTTTCACCCTTAGCCTTGACACTAGTATCTCAGTAAGGAATGGTTAGCTTCATGGCTGCAGGCTGTCAGATCTAGCTAATGTGACCCCGAGATATCCCCAGAACTCTCTTCCTCACTTCTTAGTCCCCTGAGAGGCATTTGAGCTATCTAATTAAGTCACGACAAAGCCCTAGGGAAGTGGAGCTCTGGCTAAGGATTCCCTTGGGTGAGTCCCCAGTCTGTCTCCCATGCTGCCGAAGACTACTCAGGATGTACTTCATCAGATGGATCCCTCCAGCAACAGCACAGAGAGGTCTCTCTAGGGACCTGTATGCCCAGAGGGTCACTTGCTCTGCTTCACAGAGGCTCACTTAAGACCTTGAAGCCAGGGCAGCAGTCGAGCAGTTTAGCACCTCTCACCTCCTGTCATTCAGAGTGAGTCACGGGGTCTCGGCTGACAAATCATCTGCTGAGCCGAGGACAGATGCTGGTGGCTTCCATAGACTAGCCAGCCGGCCTCACAAACCAGGTTACTGCCATTTCAGACTTCCACTGCGGCAATCGGCCCGTCTCCACAACTTTTACTCCTTAACTTGTTCTGTGCTTCCTAGCACACCTATAGACTAAATCTCTTTCCCTGAACCACCAGGGTAACTACCCACTATTTATTGAGCACCTACTGTATGCCTGGGCAATTTATTCTATATAATATACCTCTATACGCCAGCTCTCAAAAATGTGGCCCTATAGCCACGTAAGGTTAGGAAGTTTTCGTAACTCTACGAAGTGTTAATTTGCTCTTTTCCCTCACTGTTATGAAAGCTGTACAGCAGGGGTGGGCGATGGAATGAATACAGACCTGACAAGCCAACTGTCTTACAGGACCAGACACTAAAGATATCTGGGGTAAGGCCACACGCTCTTCTAAGTTGTTCTCACTCTCTCGCCACGCCCAGACTTCAGTTCTAGTTTCTGGCAGTGAATACTGATAGGGTCCAACTCACGAAAATAAAGTTCTTCAGGGCCCTCTGTAACTGTCGTATGCTTGTTTTTTATAGTCTCTTGTAGCTCAGGCTAGCCTTGAACTAGCGATTTCCTCCCTCGGCCTTTTGGAAGCTGGGGTTACAGGCGTACGGTCCATGCTCATCTCATTCTCTAGACCAGCGTGTGAGAGCGGCTGCTGTGAGAGGGAGGGAGGGAGACTCAGGGAGAGAGCACAGACAGTCACACTGCTAGAAAATGGAACCCAGGTCTGTGGATGCCAAATGCTTTGTTCTTTTAGCAGAACCAGTGTTTTTCCTGCTTTACTGTGTGTGCTCAGAATTAGCTGGACTGCTTGTTGCCACTCTCGACTATTTGGTTTAGTTTTGTTTTGGAGACAGAATATCATTTTTCTCAAGTTGGCCTTGAACCTGGTCTGTAGTTGAGAATGGCCATGGCCTCTGGGTCCTCCTGAGTGCTGGGATTACAGAGGCATTACTAATATGCCTAGGATTTGTGTTGCTGGGGCTCAAACTCGGGGCCCTATGTATGTTAGCAAACTACCAACTGAGCTATTTTATTCATTGATTTGAGACAGGATTTCGTGTAGTTAGGTTGGCTCTGAACTCCCGATCTCCTAACTGCCGGGACTATAGATATGGACACCACACCTCATATTCATAGAGCTGTTTTCCCCTTTGGTGGTGCTAGGAACTGACCCTGGGCCTCAGACACTCTAGGCAAGTGCTCTATCAGTGAGCAATATTCTCCACACAGAATTTTTGTTTGTTTTTTTGTATTTTGTTTTTTGAGACAGGGTTTCTCAGTATAGTCTTAGCTGTCCTGGAACTTGTTCAACAGATCAAGCTGGCCTTGAATTCACAGAGATCCACCTACCTCTGCCTCCCAAGTGCTGGGATTAAAGGCATGCACCACCATCACCCAGCCCTAAAACATTTTTAAAAGTGCCCAATCCTGGAGATGCATAGAGCTGGAGAGATGGCTCAGACAGTTAAGAGCAATGGCTGCTCTTTCAGAGGATCTGAGTGTGTCTCTTAGCACCGACATGGTGGTAAGAACCACCTGGCACTCTAGTTTCAGAGGATCTGACCCCTGTCTGACCCCGTCTTCCAGCCTCCACAGGCACTGCACACAAGCGGTGCACAAATATGCAGGTAGGCAAAACATCCAAACATATCAAGTAAATACATTTTTTAAAGTACATAATCCCACTGACCAATATGATAAACCCCAACACTTGGAACACTGACTTGGGAGGATTTCAAGTTCTAGGACGCCCTGAGCTCTATAGTGAAACCTTGTCTTGAAAACATAAAAACAAAAACAAGGTTTCAGTGAACATTTAATTGCAGCAGAGGCAGGTGGATTTCTATGAGTCAGAGGCCAACCTGTTTTACATATAGTTTCAGGACTGCCAGGGTTACATAAGGAGATCTGTCTCCAAAACAAAACAGGCAAAACAAAACAAAAGCCTGGAGAGACTGACCCGATAAGCAGTCCTAAGTAGGGTCTGGAACCTCGTTATTGACAAGTTTCCCCAAGTGATTCTGATGGATGAAACATGGGTAATAGCTGAGATACACTGTACTCGTGTTGGTTAACTTCTGAGCCAAGTCAGCCCCCCAAACTTTGAGCCTCTGGCATGAGAATTTATCAGAACGATGTCGTGTCCCTTCAACACCATCTTACCTACTTTCCTAGGGACCTCTAGCACATTCTGCCCTCATCAAGTTGGCCGGCACTGGATCTGCACTTGAAAGGAAATGCCTTCAAGCCCACAGGAGACTGGGCAAGTAACCTCAGAAAGCACTGGGTCGCGCTTAGGTTGGGAGTAGGGAATCCTGATCCCAGCCAGCCCTCCTGTTGCTTGCCTTCTGGCCCCACCTGTTCCCGAGCAGCTGTGAGCATGGGCTCCTGGATGTCTGTGTACATGCGGCGGAGGGCATTATACCCTCCAGGGACGCTTTCCAAGTTGCTGAGGGCCCGGTCCTGGTTCCTCATCATTTCTTGCATCATGGCTGGGTTCCGAGCAAGCTCCATTGTCTGGTGAAGGGAAAAATATGAGATGGACCCTGGAACCAGAGGAACACCAAGCTAGGAAAAGGGACCTGAGGCGCAGGTCTACATGAGGGATGCGGGAACCACACATCAGCGGCAGGGAGTACAGCAAACCCGATCCCCTCCCTCCTGTAATCTCGACTTCACCCATGCTTTTTCAAACTGAGGGATGGTGTTTCTAGAAACGGTTAGGCAGCATTTTCTTCTCTCAGGCTCAAAGGGTCCACAGAGTTGCCAGAGAGTGTAAGAAAATGAGGATGTGAAGGAGCCCCAGGTTTTTTTTCCCTGCCTAGAACTGTACCTATTCCATGTGGTGACTCAAAAAAACGCTTATTGGATGACAGATTCTAGGATAAGAGATTCGATCCCCCAGTCCAGGAAGGTTCTGCAGAGGACTGGAGAGGATTTGGTGAGATCAAATCCCGGCTCACTCCTGCTTGATCCAGAAAGCCCACTTCTCTCTCTCCAAACCCCACCACTCAGACAATCTCCAATAAAGAAAAGGCACCAAAAAGCAGTTCTGTATCCTTGGCAGCGGCTGAAGCAGTTCCTCCCCTGAAGTCGCCAGGAGCCCAAGACCCTGCCTTAAGTATGGTCAGCTTTTGACCATACTGGGCACACACCCAGCCTGTGGAGGCCACATCATCACCCTTCGCCTACAGGGTATACAAGCTCCCTGCTTTAGTTCAGCTGTGTGGCTTCTCAGGCTCTAATCTCTGGAGCTGAAGGCCTCACCCGGGAGCTGCTTTGCTCAAATATACCTGTTCTTTTTGTTGTTGTTAAAATATTTATTTATTTATTTATTTATTTATTGTGCATATAATATTCTATCTGTGTGCCTGCCTGCAGGCCAGAAGAGGGCATCAGATTGTAAGCCCCCATGTGGTTGCTGGGAATTGAACTCAGGACCTTTGGAAGAGCAGGCAATGCTCTTAACCACTGAGTCATCTCTCCAGCCCCTATACCTGTTCTTTTGCTTTTTCAATTTGGCTTGATCTGGTTTACTGTGTGTTGGTAGAGAAACCTATTTGTCTTGGAGCTGAAACCCTGGAGGAGTTGAGCCTTCCTGACAGGAAGACTGGGTCCTATAGCCATGGGGTGGGGGTGGAGCACTCATCTCCCTATATCTTCCTCTCCACTAGACCTGATAGACTTTCAACTTGGGGGTCACCCATTTCCCATCCACCGTCTACAAGATACCAGGTCAAGACCACTTCTGGGTTAAAGACCCCTGGATTTCCTGCCAACCCGTAACTTTGCCAGGGCAATCACAATCTGTTTCTGGAGCAAAGGCACTCTCCCCCACCCCCCCACCCCACCCCACCCCAGGCTATTGTGGGGGATGCCTCACCACAGTCTTTGGTCTCTGGCATAGGCTTGGGAACCTGATCCTCAGTAACCCCTGGGGTGTCAGCTACAAAATTTATCCAAATTTGGGCTATCTCACACTAAATGACAAATGGTCTGAGCTCCCTTATCCAGGGTTTGGAACTCTGCACTCCCACTCCTCCCTTTATAGCCAGTGCTCAGTGGCCCAGGTTTTGTTAGTTGGGGTTGTGGCAGCTCTGGGGGCTGACAGCACCCAGACTCAGAGACTCCCATCACCTTGGCCAAGCCCAGAGTAATACTCCAGGTAGTGGTAAATCCATCGCCTTCCTGTGGGTAACCTTGTCTTTATTGACATCTCACTCAAGTCCCAGTTCCCTTGACAGTGGCAGTTTCTGTCACGGGGTGGGGAGTGGAGGGGACCTCCTCCTTTCTGACTAAGACCTTGCCACTTCCCTGCATTCTTGCAGGGTTCTTCTCACACCCTTTTCTAATCATACCCATTTGTCTGGTGCTATCCACAGTCGCTTTGGGACCAACACTGACTCTAAATATGCTTTTTAATAGCCTATGCCCATTGTGTACTTTGGAAGGAAAGGGCTTCCTCACTACCAAGGGCATTCCCATTGTCAATGGACTCCCTATAGCCAAGCTCTTGGAACCCTCCAGTTCCCTGCAGAGGTAGCCATAATCCACTGCTTGGGGACACCAATCCTCCAAGGACCCAGCAGCCTTAGGCAATGCCAGGGCTGACTTAGTAGCCTGGAGACTGGATCTACAGGACTTGTTTTGACACCTTCCTATCAGTCCCGCTATCAGTCAGAGATGGACAACTCCTGAATAAAGGGGCCACATAGACAGAGGACAATGGTTCTCCCTTCCCCAGGACCAGGTGCTCTCCACCTCAGACACTCAGCAAACCTTACACACAGGATCCCAGGCTTTTTCCACTTCTTAGAGCCCCTCTTTGATCCCACCCATTTTTGAGCTCGCATTTTACAGGTCCACTCCTCCTGTCAAAGTGTGCCGAGGCCAACCCACAGGGACCCCTTCCTCCAGATACACCAGTCCTTGCACCAGTTCCAAGGATACCAACCAGGCAAGGATTGACTTCATCCACAAGGTCACTCATAAAAAGCTCCACTATCTCCTAATTCTTGTTGATACATTTACAGGATGGATAGAGGCATTCTCCACCTCCATTGAAACAGCAAATTTGGTGGCTGAGGTACCCGCGAACACATCCTCCCTCAGTTGGGTGTACCACAGACCATCCAAACAGGGTCAGTCATCAAGCTAGTGCCTGAAACTCTCAACATCTCCTGGAAACTCCACATCCCCTACCACCCACAATCCTCGGGAAAGGCTGAGAGGGCCGAGGGACTCAGCGAACAACTCACCAAGCTCTCGGTTGAACTCAGGTTGTCTTGGCTCACCTCCGGGTCACTCCATGCTCTCTTACAGGCCTAGGCCATTTTGAGCTCCTTTATGGAAGGCGTTCTTCCTCAACCAGCACCTCCCAGCCTACCTCTCCCTCCAAAGGTCCCTCCTCAGCTCACGTGCTGACAGCTATCTCCCTGCCCCCACGCCCATGGAGCCAACTGCCCTGAGCCCACCCGTGCCACTCTCCCTGGGGACCTGGTACTGCTCAGTTACCCCCTAAGTCTCTAGAGCTCGGGTGGGCAGGACCCTATACCGTTGTCCTCACCTCCTTCAGTGCTCCTGGAACATCAGCGCTGGTACCACCTCTCCAGGATCAACAGCCTGTCCAGGAACTGGGACCCTACACCCTCCGTTTTCCAGAATGTCTCAGTGAGGGGCCATGATGGTCAAGCCTATCTGCTCTTGTGTCTTGCTCATTCATCTTTATCTCTTTTGTCTCTGGGTTATATTTTTTACCTCAAAATGTCCATGCCCTTTAACCTAAAGTTATAGCCTTTGCTATGACACCAAGGTGTAAATTGGTTCCAGCTGTTTTGCAGATACCTGCATTTTCCTGGGGAAAGAATGCTGCTACTGGATCCACAAATCTGGCCTGGCGGAAACTGGTATTAAGTCACTCCACCAACACAACCAGGGCACATCTCTATTCCACCCTTTCTGACGATCTCCATCTTCCCATGGCTAGTCCCATTCAGAGGGCTGGTGGTAATAATCTGTCTATTTCTTTTTTTTTTTAAATATTTATTCATTTATTATGCATACAATATCTGCCTACACGTGTGCCTGCAGGCCAGAGAGGGCACCAGATCTCACTACAGATGGTTGTGAGCCACCATGTGGGTGCTGGGAATTGAACTCAGGACGAGCAGGCAATGCTCTTAACCACTGAGCCATCTCTCCAGCCCCCAATCTGTCTATTTCTTTTCTCCTAGCAACCTGCCTTCTCTGCTTCCTCCGGTAATGGATTCACGGGGCATCCAGAGTGGAGGTTAACTGAACGCGTCTTCACCCATAACTCCCACTGAGCATAAGCCCACTGACTCTGCCTCCCCACATCGCTCTATATTAGCAGAAAACAGGCAGACAGAACTGGTGCCCCACTCCTCTCTCTCCAAATCCCACCACTCAGGCAATCTCTAATAAAGAAAAGGCACCAAAAAGCAGTTCTGTATCCTTAGCGGCTGCAGCAGCTTCTCCCCTGAAGTCGCCAGGAGCCCAAGACCCTGCCTTAAGTATGGTCAGCTTTTGACCATACTGGGCACACACCCAGCTTGTGGAGGCCACATCATCACCCTTCGCCTACAGGGTATACAAGCTCCCTGCTTTAGTTTGGCTGTGTGGCTTCTCAGGCTCTAATCTCTGGAGCTGAAGGCCTCACCCGGGAGCTCCTTTGCTTCAATAAACCTGTTCTTTTGCTTTTTCAATTCAGCTTGATCTGGTTTATTGCATTGGCGGAGAAACCTATTATGCTATAGAGTAAACCTATTAATATGGTGCTACCCGCATATCTGTCCCACTTCATTTGGAGTCAAGGAGTTCCTGGTCTGTATCTGTTTATCACTGTGTCAAGTATTCAAAAATATAGAGTGAATTGAATAAAGAAAAGAATGAAGAAACAGTGACCCAGGAACAGACAACCCCAGATTTCTCCCTCCTGCCTTGTCTCACACCCACCTGTCTCATGAGCTCAGGGTTGTTGAGCATGTGGCTGATCTCAGGATTCCTCTCCATCAGCTGTTGCATCTGGGGGTTAGCCATGATCATGTGACGCATCAGGTCAGGGTTTGACATCATATCCTGGACCAAGGGGTTCTCCATGATCTGTGACAGCATCTCAGGGTTGGACATGAGCTGTCTCTGCATCTGCTGCTGTAGCTCCATGAAGTTGGCAGAACCCAGGCCCAGACTGCCTAGGCCAAGGATGCCCCCAAAGCCAGCTGTGGGAAGAAGTAGGGTCAGGGTCCACTTCTCAGGCCCTTCTCAGATCTAGCATTGCCTGGGAATCTGGGATAGGCCCTAATTGCTTCTCACGGGTCCCTCTTGCAGCCATACCCACAGCTCCAGCAAAGAAACCTCTCTAAAGGCAGAGGCCAAGCCGAGCATAACAATCCACAGAGAGAAATGAACCAGTCACCTGCCTTATTATTCTTATTATTCCTGCTCTTCACCAGGACTCTCACCCCATCTCTCCTTTTGCTGCTGAAATCCTGGAAACCATCGTACACTGGTCCCCCACCCCAAGCTTGGCGTAACCACCCCGTGGGACTAGGAGCAGGGCTGTTGCTCTTTATCTTTGTGCAACCCCACTTCCCTCCCAGTAAACACAAGCTTGTGCTCTCCTCCCTAAAGGCTTACAGAGAATCGATGCAGTAGCGCTTGGGGGCCCCTCTGCAGCCACTGTTGAGGGTCCTCCTCCATTGCCAGAATCTGAAGTGGCATTGCCAGAACCGCAGGGCTGGGCAGGGGCAGCAGGGGAGGCAGGTGTGGTAGAGGGTGCAGAGGCAGAGTCAGGAGGGGATGGTGGAGAAGCAGGCGTGGCCACTGGATCTTGAGCCCTGAGGACAAACAACGGAAAACCACGGTTGGAGAGAGGACAAGTGGGAAGCTGGCTGTGTAGCTGCTGCCAGTTCAAGCCACCACCTGAGCAGCCCTCCCCTCCCCTTACCCCAGGCTGGTAAGATGCAGGGGGGCAATCAGTAGAGAGGAACAGTGTCAGTATCACTAGTCTGTAAGGCAATCTGGGGGTGTTCAGTCAGGCTCCCCTAGAGGAAAGACCTTTCCCCCTGCACCAGGCCTGGCCAACAGCTGTCCACACAGCTGAGCAGGTAAGAAGGATCAGAAGAGAAGTCCCAGTTTAGGAGCAAGGTCAGTTCCCTTACTGAACTTACTTCTGAGGGGTCTTGATGACTAAATGGACTGTGAGCCCATCCTTGATCCCATGCTGGTTCAGTGTGTCTCCATCCTTGAGGATCTTGCCTGCGAAGATCAGGACCAGCTGATCCTGCTGAGCCTTAAACCTCCGAGAGATTTCCTCCTTGAACTGTGGTCAAGAGGCAGAGGTCACTGGGCACGCCACGGCCGGCACACCAAGACCGGGCCTCTACTCTCAGCTCTGCCCCTCTAGCTGCAATAAGCAACAATTTTTTTTTGATTTTCGAGATAAGTTTCTCTGTAGCGTTGGAGCCAGTCCTGGAACTCCCTCTGTAGACCAGGCAGGACTCGAACTCACAGAGCTCCGCCTGCCTCTGCCTCCGGAGTGCTGGGATGAAAGGCCTGCTCCACCACCGCCCAGTGGATCTGCTTTTCGATTAGTCCCATGACAGTCTCCCCACCCTGGCAAGTCCCTGCCGCTATCTACCACGACAGCTTCTGTCAATCCTAACTCCCTCAGCTAGCCTTGGGCTTGGGCTGTCTCTCCAGCTTTCCCTTGACTTGCGGTTTCTCTCCACACTTTAGCCCCAGCTTTCTCAGAACTATAATAGATCCGGCTGTTGAGTAATTCAGTGTGTTACTATCTCCATCCCACTTATTTATTTAGAGGTTGGGTCTCTTTATGCAACTATTACTATCCTGGAACTCTCTATATAGACCAGGTTGACCTCAAACTTACAGAGATCCCCTCTGCTGGGATTTTCTTAAGAAAAGGATCAGAGAGGGGTTAGGAACTCAGGTCTGTACATCAATGTCTCCATCAGACATACTCTCAATAAGAATTGTGTTCCAATTCAGTCTTTGCGGGAGAACTGTAAATTCTTTTTTTTTTTTTTTTTTGTTTTTCCCCCCCCCCTTTTTTTTATTTTTCTGTGTTTTGGGCTTGTCTCCCTTTTTTTTTTTTTGGTTTTTCGAGACAGAGTTTCTCTGAAACTTTAGAGCCTGTCCTGGAATTAGCTCTTGTAGACCAAACTGGCCTCGAACTCACAGAGATCCGCCTGTCTCTGCCTCCCAAGTGCAGGGATTAAAGGCGTGCGCCTCCACAGCCTAGCTTACAGTAAATTCTTGCATGGGAGAGCAGTAGTGATACCAAAGGCTACTCTGGGTGAGTTAGACTCTCTAGAGTCTACCAGTTCCTCCAAATCACAACACAACATGTACTCTAATTATAAACAGTGCACTTGCTAAGCAAAAGATTCCTCTCTTCCAACCAGATGGCCTATCCTAAGCCCCGCCCAATATGCAATTCTGGAGCAGCTTCAAGCAGTAGGGAAACACGAGCATTAGTCCCTCACTCATTCAACATCATTTTGCTGATCCCCTACCGCGCTCAATAGATCCTATAGAGCAGAAAACTGAACAACACATCCATTTCGATTTGCAAGCAGGAGGGATCTGTGCGGAGAGAGCACCCCCTCCACGCGACTCTCCCGGGGAAGCTTAGCCGCAAACTCTCTCGGGCCGCACTGTGCCTCGGCGCCTGGAACCTCCACCAGTAACCATGGCGCACTCTCCCCTCAAGCCTAGATCTTTTCGGGTGCCCGCCTGCAAGGTGTCCCTTCCCTACACTCCCCCACCACGCCCCCAGCCCTGGCAGCACGGCCAAGACCGGTCCCAAGCCGCTCCACGCTCGCCGGACTAGCCCAGGCAGGGCGCCCCCTACCCGCCTCGTCTGCCCTCGCGCTGCCGGGATCCCCGTGGGCTCCGCCCCGGCCAGGGGCCCGTACCGTAGCCAGGCCGGCCCCGAGGTCTCCATCTCAGCGCTGACCCCTCCGCGCACTGCTCCCGCTCTCCTCCCTCCAGCGCCAGCCGTCCTACCTCCTTGACCGAGGCTCGATCGCAGATCACGATCTCCTCCTTGTCCTTGGGGGTCTTGACGGTGACCC